ACACCAAAAGACAGCAACCAAAACCGGCGCACGAAAGTGCATGGTTAATGGTTGTAAAAACTGAACTGAACTGAAGTTTCCTCTCACAATTGTGCGTAATAAAAAAAAACGGATAGCTGAATGAACGGTAACTTTGCTGTCCTTATGTGATGGGTAAAGTAGTAATCAATGAAGTTTAGCCTGATAACTAACACACATCCCTTTACAATCGCTGTTGCGTAAGAAGTAAATTTACATACGGTGCACCCTTGGTGGCGCATGATTCATAGTTTTTTGTTATCTGAATGATAATTAATTTTCATATCAAATCGACAACTTGCCACCGAATTCTCCGCCTAAACGTTCTACTTGAACATTGATGATCCGCTCGCAGCATCCCACCTGTGTGAAACGGGCAAAAGTCCCCTGATCAACGGATTTCTTACTACCTTCATATTTGACTTTACACAGATCTGATCGCATTGTGGTGTTGCACGCACCATTTTCAATTATATTGAAATAGCGCATATCTTTAGTTAGTCACAATCGACAATGAACGAAACACGTGATCAAAAGTGCAGCTAGGACAGCTCCGCATCCATTGGGCGGTGTTTTATTCTGTTGGTGTTGAAGTGGCTAGTCGTATACACTGTAACAAAACCCAGAGGAATGATCTGTAGGGGCGTGGCTGAAATCGTGTCATGGTGAGTATTATCCGGACTGTTTTCAAAGGTTGCTGGACCCGCCTATTCTCCTTGGATTGGAGAATAATGATCTGTTGCAATCTGTCATCGTTTAGCTGGATTGCACTCGGTTTCACAGTGGATTACAAAACGACCGTTCGAATCACTCCGGGATAAGTTTCGATCACCACCAAAGTTCGATTCCATGATTTCCCACTGTCTGGACAGTTTCACTAGACCTCTTCTTCCCTCCGGTTCACGTTCGGAAGTGCTGCCCTGGGATTAGTTTAACTCTATGTAGTAGCTCGTTTTTAGTACAGTTGATTGCCTGTTTTGCTTAAGCAGTTACGTAAGAAGTAGTGACACCAGAGAAAGTCGACTGCATTCGTGTCTCAGTTTCGAGCAGTATCAGCAACTGCTGTTGCTGCTGGATTGAACCATCTTTGGTGTCTACCTGATATCCTACTGCGTTTAAAAGCTTACACTTCGGCCAACTCAGCTCTGCGATAGCGGGAAATTGAGTTTAAATCTGTTCCCTCGAGATTTCCGACCGTATATGTTTTCGCGGTTTGACACATAAGAGAAGACGAGCTAGTTGATAGTGTGTCTTGTCTCGTAGTTTCGCTATCACCTGAGAGGAGTAATTGGTTTGCCTTTCGATATTGTGATACACCTCAATTTAATCAATTTCATCATCGTATCGCTCATGAGTGTTTATTGCTTTCCCCCTTTTTAGTCTTCTGTGATGGGCGACCTTCTATTGTATCGTCAGCCTGGTGTATGACAGATAATGTGGTAAGTGCTAAAGTCACTTCTTTTTTATTTGGACTACTGAATTGTATATGTGTAGTATAACTTAGAGCTCGATCTTATCGCGTGACCTTTTCTAATCTCCTATACGGTATGATTGGGGTTCATTTATCATCAAATGTTTTCGTTTTTTATCTCAGTATGAGAAGGATTTGCGGGACCCGGCGAATTTCATTTCTATGGTGAATTTCGTTGTGTACAGGGCAAATCCAGTGTGAACTGAAAAGCTAGGATGCACTGGACATCGGTTCCCACTCGGTTGGTTCACATCAGCAGCGCGAATTCATCGATTCAAGCGAGGACTGAACCCCGGGACCTCACTGGTGGAACTCTATCGTACTAACCACTTGGTCATCAGGCTGACCGGTTTTGATTTACTTTTGAGTTTTCCGATTCAATGGATTTGTACTGCTGTGACTGGCCATCCTTCCCTTGCACCTCGCGAAATGCTCCTATGCGACCAAGCATCTCAAATAGTCTGCTGTGAGCTGGACAGGAATCACTGAGGTTCGCTTCACTATATTCCATTGTACGATGATGAACAGGAAGGGACGTGCNNNNGAATCCCCCCCCCCCCCCTGGTTGTGACAGCGGTTACAGGTTCGACTGGACGTTTGTGTGGTGTTTGGACTAGCCGTACGAATGACACGAGCAACTCTTGCTCAACCCCACACGATAACGCGGAGAGAGGCCACAGTCAGTGTGTATTCGTTTAGTTAGGTTTTGATACGCAACAGGGAAAGGATACTTCTGAGGTCGATTTTTGTTCATATTCTGTCTAAAGCAAGATTTGTTGTCCGTAGACATAAAGATGCTTTGCATAAGTATTAAACAAATGTTTCTCATATTCTTTGTAGCCGGATTTATCTACAGCTCAACCAACTGTTCCAAAACGGAGAAGAACTTCTATCCAAACATCACATCACTCAGGGGCTTCTTCCGGTGACGGAGATAACCCATCAAGTTCCGGTTCCGTTGAAACGACACCTTGCAGTACACCAAATATGTTCTCAAATCAAGATCATATACAGCTTCCTACATCTGCTTTCATTGGTCAAGCCGCTCCTACCATTCACTTTGTTCCCGGGTCTTGGCAAAGCACGGCCTCGTCCGTCTTGAATCAGGTTTCTCCTCTAGAACCAGCAGTCACTGTTTTCGCTTCTACTGCAATCAATGGCAGTAGACTAAACTCAACAGCATTAACATCTGTCCCGCCCATGTTCGCCACCCGTCGTCGTCGGCATCTAGCCTACTCTACTGGACTAAACGCCTTTCGTGGCCGACAACAACAAAGGTTTGCTCAACAACTGATCCATTCCCGAAAACGACACTCACCGTTCACGCGTCACTCAGATCCAACCCATCATTTGCGTCCTAATTTAAACACGGTTGCATCGCAGCTAATTATGGGAAGCTCATCTTCCGGTCCGATCCCGGAAACTTTCACCAGTGAGTTATGTCGTTTATGTAGGTTTTATCCGCTTCACCCTAATCGCTCGTAACATGTGATTATCAACGACCGAAATTCCGTTAATTTATCAAGATTCTTCAATGCCTTTTTTATTCATATATTACACTTAGACTCACCAATCCATATACATAGAATATCCGGAACTCATCAGCAGTGCGTGTTATTCTTCTGTCTCTTCTTGGACTCGAACAGCGGACTTTCCGGTTGGGAACTGAATCCCTCAACCACGGTCGACGACCTCACTTGTTCTATGAATTGAAAATGTGTTTGTTTTCCTTCTATACGAACCCAGGCCTTGTGTCTTCATAGATTCACATGAAATCCGAACAAATACATGATCGAGCAAGGAAGGGAATTAGATTCTCAAATCAGGTTTCTCAATCCCCGATTCCTCTGTCGGAAGAACTAACGAACATCCTCACTCTGGTGTTTTTTGCCAACTGATTACTTATTAAAGTTTTCCACATGGTTTATTTCTGGCAGTGCAAATCGATTGTTCCATTTGTTAGTATCCCCGATGGAGAAGAAGACAACAAATCCCGACCTGCCAGGATCGGAACAGGATTACGCGTCGGGGGTGGGAGTTGATAACCTGGTAAGCTCCACTACTACCTTACTGCGCTGCATTTGGACGCAAGAGCGCATCTCTTCATCTTGGGATGAATCACTGGTCGTTCACATTTTCAAGGAAGAATCCCGCAACGATTGTGAAAACCACCGCGAGATCAGTTTGATCCCGATCATCACCAAATTGCTAGCTTCGGTCATACTTCGACATCTGACGCCTTTAAGAGAGACCAAGATCCGTGAACAGCAAGCCGGATTCCGACCTGGCCGTGGATGTATTGATCAAATTTTTACTTTACGTTAGGTTCTTGAGCTGCGTCATATCCACCGTCGGCCAACGATCGCAGTGTTCCTTGACCTGAAAGGAGCCTTTGACTTTGTTGACCGCGAAACTCTGATGGGCTGCCTTCTTCGAAAAGGAATGCCCTAGAAGTACGTTAACCTACTGAGGTCACTGTACTCACAGACCTCCGGTCGTGTAAGGATTTACAACAATCTAAGTGGGCCGTTCGTCAC